CCTACATTTATTTCTCTCGTGAGTTTGGGTGTAATTTGTAGTGGTCTATGTATGTGTCCATGGCACCCGCGACACAGGGTTTCCCTAGTGCGGGGCTATGTTGAGTGTGCGTTATTATTATTATAAATACAATACTGTAGTTGTTGTAAATGAAGTAATGTGAGCATGATTGCGTTTCATTATTGAAGAGTGCTGGTGAAATCATTACAAGCATATTAAACTTGTCGACGTATGTCTCAGTGTGATGGGCACAGTAGCAGTGCCACTTAAATCATTGCTATATAAAGCTTTGAATTTAAAAAAAATCCTCGGCAGACACGCAGCTTATTTATTACCTCACGCAGCTTATTTATTACCTCGTATCTAGTTTGTACATTACGTAATTGTCATAAAGTCCATTATGCTATGGGTAGAAAACATCGCTTTTATTCGTTCCGTGGGAATTTAAATTGAGGATCACAGTAGGCTACGACCAGGTAGAGCTTTACAACCTGAAAGGAGACTTGTGGATCCAATATCAAAACCAATACGAACGAAAAAGCCAACTTTCAGGAAACGGCTGTTAAATATTCTAAAAATTAAATATAAAAATCAAACTCTTAGTAACGGTCTTGGTTTCAAAGTGCGATACATTTGTTGTTCATACAACACCACTCGTAACAAGAATGAATTGAATCTTATGTAATTTGCTTTTTAGAGTGAAAATTGTAACTTCGTCTATTTGTGATAATGGGACGCTATAGACCCCTGTGGTGCTAGTGGGAACATCGTTCCACCATTACCGCCAGTGGCACTTGTCGGTGTTCCTAGTGGTTGGTTGTTGGTGGTTTTAACATCTATTGCCAATAAAAAGCAAAAGTCAATGTTTATTAATTAATTTATTGTAGAAATCCTGTTTTATATGCAGATAATTTTGAAACAATTTTAGTTGTAACCTTGAGAATTCATAAATTTTTTTACAAAAAAAACCAAGTTAATTTTTATGATCACATGTGTTTTTTCATGATTCGTCATTTTTCTACGATATCTATTATAAGGTGGACATTATGAAAAGTACATAATTTACAAAAATGCCTTCGTTTTCGTCCACCTATCCAATTTGTCAGTATATTTCCATAAAACACTAAAGTTATCCTCATAATAAGGTGGATGGAAGCTATCGCCAGGCAGCGAATGCGGTGTATTTATAATCGTGTACTTTAATTCCAGTGAATAGGAAATAGACTGTAATTAGAAAATGTTAAGGTACAAATTTAAACAGGCGGAGTTGGCCGGTTAACTCGAGCTCTATATGTCTTATTCATTCGCATAAATATCTCCATAAGTGTTAAAGAGATAGAAAATGTGGAGTGAGATTTGAAAAGGGACATTCGGAATTAGAACAAGTGATGATCACAGAATCCCAAAGCCTTCATTGTAAATGGTGTAAGAATTTTTTATCCCTTACGGCAAATGATTACTTTATTAAGTATGTAATTGTTATAAATTATATTTATCATGACATTATAAGCAAATTGAAATACAACATGTTTAAAATGAGAATTGAGATTATTTTTGTTTTCCTGTATTTTATTTTCTTTTTACGGTCTGTCCCGTAAGTTATTTATGTAAACTTGTTTACAAAATACAATAATCTACAAATACCAGCTTGAATGCCATAATACATTCTCTACCTACCAGTCAACGTATTTTAATACGTGACGTGCACGATTTAACATCGGTTGAATGGGTTGACTAGACGTAGGCTGTCGTTCGGTACGGGTCCACCCCTATGTTGTAGATATTCCAAACAGCACGAACCGTTACGCTTCCACATTTGTATGGCGAACAACTGGAGTGGAATTCCTGTTCAAGATGAGAGTCGATAGGCATTATTTAGGTATGCATGCATGGTTGACCTCATCGTCACTTTTCATCAGGTGAGATGGAGATCAAAATTAAATGCGCACTTATTATATTTAAAAAAATCTGTTGAGGCAAGCAGAAAAAAAATCCAAAATAATGTAACAATGAATGACCAACCTTAAAACCTGGTAAACCCTACCTGTATAAGCGGATATCACATTTATAAGCCTTGCTTCATTTACTAGTATAGAGCTAGAAGGACGATCGTGCAGTTTCGCAATGTGTAGGAAAGTCGAGTGGTTGTAAAATTTCGATGGTTAGGCCGCAGACGATTTTTTTTTTTGTTATTTATAAATACTTCGCCACAAATAGCAACTCCGCCGCCGCCGCCGCACAGTGGACCCAAATTGATAATTCTTGGACATAGGAATAACTCGTGGTGTATCGAGCAAATTACTTTTTTAATTGATAATAGAAATTATAGAAGAATAAAAGTTGTTAGGAATATTATCCATCACATAAAAAAAATTTGCTCGATACTCCACAAGCTATTTCTATGTCCAAGAATTATCAATTTGGGCCCACCGTGCGCCGCTCTCTATAGAATTATCTATAGAGAGCGGCGCACGGTGGGCCCATTGACGAAAGCAGAGAGAATACGTTATCATATTTTTTTATTACTGTTCCATCGTGTCTATACTATCAGTCTACAAAAGTAATATATTAAAATCTTGCACATACTAGTTGCAACTTGTGCGAATACGAATAGACCAACGCTTACGCAAAATGAAAAGCGTGCTTATGCGCTTATTTTAAAAAGCAGACTTTTAAAGTGCTTTTCGTTTAAACGCGCACCTCTACCATACGCCTCGATTACTATCGGAACCGCTATCGCCAAAACACGACAACACAAACAAATGACAAACACTTATCTTATTAATGATTGGTCATATTTTTTTTCTAATTCAAAAAGATGTAACAAATTCTGCGGATTGTTAATATAATATAAACTTTACCCAGATGCTATATCGTTGAAAGTTCAATACCTTTATTGCAAGTTAACTTGATTTTAAATTGAAATTTTATTCAACGTGGTGCCATCTTGCGGCCAGTAGCTGTACTACGAAGAACGATTATTAACGTCTGAATCAATTCGATAAACAGAAAATTGCAAATTTATTAAAATAAGACTTACCGATGATATGAAATACTACTACGCACTCCAAAGCAGCACAATAAGGCATTTTTTAGGTATGCGATTTTAGAGAATTTGCGCGAAGGAATGACACAACCATGCCATACAAAGCGAAAATGACGGACTGAGGTCTCGAAACATTAACATTGGGATGTTGGCACTCGTCTGACGCTAACTAACCACTTCTACTGTATTTATTGTTCTGTGAATTCGACCCTTGTCATCACGACCCTGTACATAAACAAAGTTATTTCTAAGCGATTTAATAATGTGACTTACGTGCGTTAGATTGTAGTCGAATAAAACTGGTGTCTTATCTAAAAAGTTAGTAAATAAACAAATTAAAAAGTATCATTTTTCTTCGGAGACTGGTAATGCACAAAGAATCCGTTATATCGTTTTTTAAAATCATTTTGTCAATTACACTCATTCATTTCAATTTTCAGCTTTTACTATTCCATTGCAGGACAACAGCCTCCCTTCTCTTGTCACTTAGACGTGAGACGCACTAGAAGTTTTCGGAATGAATAAGAAAAAAATACTGTAAATAGGCAGAAATTAATTTATTGTTTTTTAAAACATCCTCCGTTAGCGTTAATGCACCTTTTCATACGAATGAACAAATTTTGAAAACATTTATGCCACTCCTCCGTGACAATCTCTGAAAAATATTTTTCATACTGTTCTACAGCCTCTTCAGGTGATGAAAATCGTTGACCGCGTAACTGATTCTTAATATTTGGAAATTAATAAAAGTCAAGTTCGGGACCATGTCGGGACTGGACGCAGGATGGCTCATAAAGTCAACGGTGTTCACCTTCAAAAATTCATTTGTCTGTCTGGCTGTGTGAAAACTGGCATTAACGTGGTGCAAGATGATACTGCGTTTACGGTTATTATTACATATTTCTTTTATTATTATTTTTGATATTTATTATTATTATATATTTTTTATAGGTAGAAAATCACACTACGAAAATTTTCACGAGTTAAATCCATGGTCCGGTTAAATCATGGAGTTAAATCCAAGAATCACAGCTCCTAGCTTAAGATCTGATCGCATCGAGAAAAAGTAGTGGATTAGTCGCAAAGTTTTTTATGTAAGTCAATGGAATAAGCAAATAATAACCTAGGAAACACTATATGGTATCTTAAAAGATGGCGTCTCTTATTCCAGCGTGACCATGGACGATTATTTGAAATTAGTGAAGTAAAATTTTAATTTATTAAAATAAAGTAAATTAAGTTTAGTCGTAGTGTCGTTTTGACTCTATAACGATGTTTTATCGATCGAATATTTGAAATAAATTTATTCCAGGGGCACCATTTTTCTATCATGAGAATCACAGCTCCTAGCTTAAGATCTGATCGCATCGAGAAAAAGTAGTGGATTAGTCGCAAAGTTTTTGATGTAAGTCAATGGAATAAGCAAATAATAACCTAGGAAATACTATATGGTATCTTAAAAGATGGCGTCTCTTATTCCAGCGTGACCATGGACGATTATTTGAAATTAGTGAAGTAAAAATTTAATTTATTAAAATAAAGTAAATTAAGTTTAGTCGTAGTGTCGTTATGACTCTATAACGATGTTTTATCGATCGAATATTTGAAATAAATTTATTCCAGGGGCACCATTTTTCTATCATGAGAATCAGCTCCTAGCTTAAGATCTGATCGCATCGAGAAAAAATAGTGGATTAGTCGCAAAGTTTTTGAATTATTTATAATTTCGCCCGTATAATACCTTGTAAGGGCATAGAAAAGAACGTCAGTTTTATTCTATAAATAAAAACACATACAACACGCCAACTTAGAACTATATCCATTTACACCAGCCCGTTGCACCAAGTACCAAGTACTATCATTTCCAATATTTCTATAGCCATGTTTTATAATAATTGCGTTCTTAATTTCAAATAGATTAGGTACACAAATCAAAAGAACAAAATACCGTATCACACATTTTATTTACCACTCAACTTCGCCCAAATGCAATTTGCAATCATAAAACGAACACGTAGCCACCACAGACGGTTTTTCGTCGACAAACTTCCAATCGGCACCATATGCAATACTTTCATGTTCTAAATATTCACAAATAACGTTAATCTCTTCCTCGAGGTGTAATATTTTGAACCCTCCGTACATACAGGCTGCTAAAATTATGTTTTTTTGGAAGGGGTGCCATTTAAGCCTCCATACTCCTCCGTTTACGTTTGTCTCCGTTATACTACGTTTTAGGTTCCTTGTGTCCCAAAGACGCACTCTTTCGTCGTAACTGAAAATTAGATCAAAACCGGTAAAAGCTTGAAAAAAAAAATTTCACCCGTAAGCGACAAAAGGGCGGCAAATTTTTATTTATTTCGAATTTTTGTGTCCCTGTGACAAACAACTACTTATTTATAATAATATAAACATGTTTCTGATGTCTTTTAAGTTATGTAAAAGAATAATAAATAAAATTAACATTGGAAATGAAACTATTTTTCCGGATTTAAATAGCGTATATTTGTTTTTTCAAACAAACCGACGTATCGGGCCCTTTACAGGTCCCAAAATTAACATTTTTTACATTTTATGGTTGTTGAAACATTCTCATACCTGCCGGTCAAAAGCTGATGTTCCATATCCACGTGGTTCCTCACAACTGTCACTCCAGCTTCGTGAATCCTGTTTACGGTGACTGCTATCTCGGGTACTCTGGCATCGTAACTCTTGAACACGCAGTCATCACCGCCTGCGGAAAATGGTTGCATAGTTACGTATAAATGTCGGAAACTTTTTGGTGACCAAGCATGAATCGGATGGGATCATAAGTATCTAAGGTGTTCGCTGAGGGGATCACTGCGGCGGACCTGATTTCCAGAAGAGACAACTAATATATGTTCCGTATCAATATCTAAATTTTTTGAACATGATGTGCGTATATTTTTAAGCTACTTTCGTTCACGAACGAACTAGCAAGAAACTTTAGGAATTGCTCTTTTTAAATAAACGTAAATGCTATGAAATACACTTTGAATCAAATTTGTATGAAATCTAGAGAAATGTCGTCTTTCCATGCATCCTTTTAAACTTAAGAAATGTTATTTGCTCCGGAATCTCATTGTAAAAACGTGTACAGTTCCCCATAAAAGAATCATTTACCTTAGTTAAACACACCCTTACCCTTCAAAACGGGAATGCAGTAATGCTTATATTACTGCTTGGCGGCCGAAATAGGCAAGGTTGCCACCTTACTTGTTAGTTGGCAGTATTTCCCTAAACAAAGTTTTTCACAAGAAACTCTACTGCTACTAAAAAAGTCATTTCAGGTTTGTAAAATCAAGTGCATCTTAATTACAACTGGCTAAATATTATTCATTTTTTGCAACTGAACACTTACCTGAATAAAATATATTACTATTCCAATAATTAAAAGCAGCGATCCATGCTTCAAATCCGTGTCCATTCCACCGTCCAATCTTCAGCAATTGGTCTCCAACTACCCTCAATACAGTCACACTTCCCGCTGAATCACTGACTACTATATCTGGCTCTTCAATCTCGGTTTTGTTGGTTGACCAATCCAAAGACAAAGCCAGAATATTTTCACCAATCGACTCTTCAACCCACAATTTCAAATTTAACGTTCCATTTTCGTCAACCATTCGGTAAAGATGTAAAATACCCTCAGATGTTGCAGTAGCAAGTACCGGGTAGTTTTGTATGGTGTGGTAACACCATTTTTGGTCGAGTATTCCAGAAGTTTCAATAGTTTGGTTAGGAGACAACTCGATGGTGCTGTTGTCTATGACAAAGAGATAGATGCGGCCAAGTCTCGACTGTTTTGCTTCATGATCTGCAAGTGAATATAATAAGTTTCAATTTCAACAGTTAGGTTTAGAAATGTAAACAATATTATTTTTGAATTAACATTACCCAAAAATTGCAATTGCAATTTAATATTTGTACACGTATACAAGTCCGAGATTTAATAATACAAATCCACAATAAATTATAAAAAAATGTTAAAAATTTAATTTGCTACAATAATTACCTCCTCCAGAACCATTCTTATTGAGCTGGTAAGTACCACAAGTGAACACATTCCAATGCTGAATCACGGGGCACCATTCGACGGAATCCGCGCTGTAACCCGTGTTCCACCGCCACTTGGTCGTCCACAACGCTTCCATAGACGCTAAAAATTAGATTATTTGAATTAAATGTAAAATTCAGGCGTCTTAACCTGTGGTCGGGTATTCGGATGATTTTAAATCTGGAGTTCACTTTTACACATTTTCACGTGAATTTTTAGCGAAATATTGCTGGGATACCGGAATGGCGTGACATGTTGCCATTTTTATGTAAATACAAAATATTTTGGCTTATTACAAATATTAAAGATCTGAGAAAGACCAAGATTATTGAAATAAAATCTGAGTTTCGATAAAAAATTATTCAAACTACAATTTTTCACTTTTTATATTTATGATAAAGGTTAATTTAAATGTTACATAACATTTCAAACGTTTATTTTCCTTCTATTTTTTTCTAAATAATTTCATCAATCCGGTATAGCGGCATTTTTTCGACACAGAAGCGCATTCCATATTAGCAATCATTAATTACTAATCCATCAATATTTGTCTCCCAATTACATCCACTAAAAATCGAAAAGGTGTGGCTACTACTCCATTACACTTCAAGTTTGACTCGTATATACCTGCTTATTATAATATTGTGTCGCAACGGAAGTATCATAACACACAATACAGGAAACAGATGTCAAAAGTAAATCTTAGCGGAAACTAATGCGGAAGCGGAAAAGTACATACTTTAAAATTCTCAACGAAATAGCTCCAAACACACTTGTTTTTGTTTTCATAGTTGCAGTTCTAACACAAAACTGCTAAAGCCCACGCACCCACCGCCAAACAATACGCGCAAGCGCCTGATGTATCGCAATAAACTTCTGACAACATTTCCGTTATTAAATTTATAACAAAGATCTGTTTCATCACTAGGTAGGTAATACATACTTGTCTGTAGTTCGGTTAATTTATTTCATCTCATTTGCATATATCTTTGTACAGTTTGAAGAACAAAATTGACATAGTTGGATCCATAATTTCCTTTGAGGATGGAAAAAAATAGTCTAAGGTAATTTCATGGCCTATGTTGTAATTTAAACAATTAAATTCCGTCGAAAATTGTAAGTTAAGTCTTACGATGAAAACTAATTGCTTACATTACAATATAATGTCTAGCGCTGCATGTCCTTTATTTTATTTTTTCCATCCTCCAAGCTTATGACTGTGTCTAAATTATCTTTTTTTTTTTGTGGTAATGGCTCTGCAGTTGACAATTACAAGTTAAAGCTATGAATGATAAGAGGTTTCATGTCGAAGGCATAAAATAAAACCATAATGTCTATTTTAGACCCATTTATTAATCCATAATAAAAATATACGAGAATAAATATAGCAGATTAATGCCTATCGTAACTGCGATGGTTTGTCGATGATCTAACACCGTCTAAACACATCCTTACAAATTTTAATTTACTAAAAAAATTTGTACTGTCGTATGGTTCCTCACTTACAAATTACATTTAAGGACAGGAATTACAGGGGTTAAAGAAAATTACGCCCCTTATTATTACGTCAATTATTAAAACCGTATGACAAGTTACTATGTATATTCTGCTCAAGTCCCTAGTATAGTATTTAGTGAACAGGTTTAGGCGTCTTCAAATTAGACGCTTGCAGAAGCTCTGCAGTGGCGCGGTTGACACGCCACTGCTAATTTTCATACAATATTTAGTAGTGATGCAACGGAAGTATTTTTTTTATAATATCAAGTGACAGGACGAACAAACCTAATAGTTTTATAATAGTTAAAATAACCAAAATAACAGTTGCAGTGCCACGCAGAGCTTTAAACAACAAAGATCTCATGGGCGCTGCCACTGCGCCCATCATCCTGAGACATAATTTGATAATTCCATTGTGCTACAGGCAAATTCACCAAAATTACATGTCATAACGGAAACAAACGTCAAAAGTAAATCTTATGTAAGAATGCGGAAGCGGAAGTGTAAATATTATAAAGATATCAACGACATAGTCGCAAATAGGACTTGTTTTTTGTTTCATAATTGCACTGTGCACAACACAACACTGTTAAAAAACGCGCGCCCCGCCACCAAGCAATCTGCGAGCGGGCCACATCCATTGTGAACGTTGTAAAACTACTGACAAAAGTTCCGTTACAAAAATTGCGGAAGCAGAAACGGAAACAGATGTAAAAAAGTGTGCAGAACTTCCACAGTTGCGGAAGCAGTAGCAGACGTCTGTTGCATCACTAATAATATCTAGTCTGCAAACTGGCGCGCACGTGGCGCCACTGCAGCACTTCCATAAGCATCTAACTTAAAGGTACCCTTATAAAAGACACATAATAAAGGGTTCCACTAGCAAATATGCTTAGCTTTAGAAAGAATCTTAAATATCACCAATATTGTTCAAGTATACACAGTGAATCGTAGATTGCGAAAATATATAAATAAATATATGGATAAAACTATTTTATAAAAATATTGAAATGGACTTCAAGAATTAGTATAACATTTATGTAAGTACATTATTAATGGTAACTTATTCAATAGAATTAACGTCTATTTCGTAATATCTTCTTATGGCTAACTACAATTATAAAGTATACTTCAACGGCAGTTGGACTGTGGTTTATATAATGTTTTCTATATTTATTTTATTGTAGAAGTGTACATAAAAGTAATGCACTGTTGCTTCCATTTTTGTCGTATACAGAAATGAGAAATCTCATTTGAACTACTTATTCGTATTTAAGTTTTAAAGGCGTACTTAACTACTTTATACTTTCCAGTTATGTGCTCAGATTCTGTTTACAATCACAGTATTTACCTGACGTTTTATAATTGTTCAAAATGTTGGTCTTTCGGTTAAGTTAAAAGTTACAAATCATGCATAGATAAGTTAAAGCCGTACCGCAACTGACGGACATTTTCAATTATTTTCATTTCTTAGTCATGTTTTCTATAGTGACAAAATAAAACGCAATATTTTAATGAGTGAACCGATGAACTAATCACGCTCCTAGTGTCAGCATTACCACTATAACAACTTTAGTGCGCTGTTCGCTTCATGTACACTAGGTATATTAGCTACAACATAGTATAACATCAAAATACATATTTAAATCTGTAAAACCTTATTGGAACATAATACATCTTTCTACGGAGGATTAGTGTCTAAGAACTAAATTATATACATTTGAAATGAAAATGCTTGGACCTACATCGCGTTATTTGTATTTCAAAAGAAACCAACATTTGTTCTCTCTTCTCGACTAATCGTTGGATTCTTTGGAGTCAGTTGTGACCATGAAACCTGTACAGCCCGAAATGTTGGTTTGTTTAAAAAAAAAAAAAATATACGCGATTTAGACCTGTTAAAAAATTTTTTCATTTCAAATGCAATTGTGAAAATCTAAGAACTCGATAAATTATATACAACTTAATATTAATAAAAACACAATGCATTAGCAAAATGAGCACTTTCTTATAAACTATATTGTATTCTATGTTTGAGGTCACAAAACTGGCTGTATTTCGTAACATTGGTAATTAAAATTAATATCATTGCAATATTGCTTTCGTCACTCCATTTGAATACTGTGCGTAAATTGGTTGCTTTGTTGTGGCCAGAAGAAATACTTTGATTGTTTCAAATCAGTACTTATTCTCCTGATTATCTTAATTGACTGTGTAAATAGTTTCTTTTGTTTATATTGTAAAGAATCTTTTTTTTTCTCCTGACTACAACTATTTATTATACTCGTTTTATTATTAATAACTTGACTTAGCATGACTAACATTACTATAAAAATGATTGTAAATCTTGCAATTAAACATACATTTTACGTTCACTACACGATTAAAAAACATCAAACATGATTTGTCTGCTTAAGATACGACAACAAGAATATAAACATTAAAAATATTAATATTTTGTTTGTGTCTGAGGTAGATGTTCACAATAAATGTTGCATCACAGCCTGGGTTCCAGGACTCTGTACGGGTCGTATTCTCAACTGCCAAATCACTTACGTCACTACTTATAACTATTTGGGTTCATTCAAATTGATCAATTTGATACAGCTTTGTGAAGTGTTACCTGCTGGGTTGCGAGAACCGCTGCATTACACTTCGTGTATGAAATAAAAAAATTCTTTTTACTTTTTAAAATTTAGAAAATTGAAATTGTAAATGTCAAATTGTCACTAATAATTGCAACTTGATAAAATACTTTATATTCCATTGCCTTTATGTGTTGAATATAAATATGAATTAATGGAGCCATATCCGCACAAAACTTGACTTGATCCTTCCAGATGAAGTGTGTTAAACAATGTTTAACTGTGTTACAGAACCCATTTGACAAGAGTTTTTATAAAATATTTAGTTGCAAACATTTGTGTTGCTCTTCAACACAATTGTGACTGTTTCAAATGTTTTACATGTCAATATGTTGCATTACAGCTGTTCAATAACAGTCTACAAACACTCACTGATGAATGGGATTCTTTTGTATGAGGAAATATTTATCTTTACTCACTTTTTGGGCTTTTCAAAATTATAACTTCATATTATGATGAAGAAATCAAATACAATTTTTTCTGTTATCAATCTAAGTTTCTTCTAAAGCTCATTTGTACAGTTGCATCATATTGTTCATAACTAAAGTTTTCTGATTGACCTGTAAAGCTGCATTGCATCAAACCAATATGAATAAACCCTGGAAATAAATGACATTGTTCAAAAGTACATAACTGTGATTTCTTTATTTTGATTCTTTGGAATCCTGGCATATGAAAAAAATCAATCTTTAATAACTTACTCGTTCTGTGAAATTATTATTATTAAAGAAATTTACATCACAAATAAAAACTTAAATGTTGAAACTTCTTATTTATGTCTAAGTACCCTGAATTATATATCTTTTTAAATCTAACAAATTAGAAGCTAAAATTTTTGTTAGAGAATGTTATATAGAATATTTTGGTTTAAATATTGGATCACAAGTTTATCAGCAAACAAAATATATTGGCAGAGCCAGGTTGTGTCATTATGGAGAGCAATAGATTCTCATAAATATGACACAAGAATTGATATTGTAGTTGGCCTTCATTATGTGATAATTTATACTAACTATTGTTTGGTGTGCAGCAAGGTAACTTTTAGTTAGCTCTCTGGATTATAGCAATTGATATATATTATGCTAAACTTTATATAAGAATTGTCATTAAAATATGTATCTTGTTCTGGTCACATCAGTGGAACATTTTTAAAAACAATATTAATAAAAAAATCAATGTCTTCCATGATTGGCAGTCATCCTTTCCATGTCTAGCATGATCAAACCTGAGGTACACTACAATTGACTGTGGGGTTTTTGGGCGCGACGGCTCACTGTCGCGCCGAGCGCTCAGTCTCGATCAAGCATTCCCGCACCAGAATGCGGGCGTGGACAATGCCGCGCTTCAGGCGCTCAGCCGAGCTACGGCTCCCAGAATAACTAGGCCGCACCTCCTTACCCATCTCCTCGATCACCGCAAGCAGCTGTGCATACTTCGATACCCCGTCCTTGTCTTTACCAGTAGAAGACGGCGACGCCGCTGCCGGCACGGTCGATATAGTGGCGTGACTGCTTGCTCCATACACGGAATCTTTGTGCACACTCTTCCCGTTCATCGGAATCGCCGTCACGGTGACATCGCTCAATTTCGACTCCACAGCCTGGATGTCCATCGCTTCCATAGCTGAAAATATACGCGCCGTAAGGAAAACAAAAGAAGCCGAAAGAATCGATCAACGAAACGAGAAACTTACCTAGCTACAACTAATAAACTTACGCGCGAGATTAAACACAACAACTACACGCATAATCGCTCAATAAACGCGGAAAGAAACAAATTGTATTTTCTTATATACAGGTAATGTAGGACATACCTAATCCGATCGCCTTCGGACTCTCAAGAGACCAGGAACGGTACAATTTATCTTTCGAAGCAATCAAATACCAGCGGACCTCGTTAATATTGATGGAATGTGTTATGTTTTCTGTGAATATAAATGTGGTTCGAAAATAAAACCCGTATTTTTTATTTAACTGCAATAACAAACAAGTCTACAAATTACCACATTGACAAGTGTTTTTTTTTAACCATTGCAGGCTATTTTCGATTTTACGCGCTTCAATATTAACAAAACATCTTAAAATAGAGGAAGCTAGAACTATTTGCTATTTAACATAAACTATCTCTTTCATACTAGACGAACATTCATTGAAGGACATCCCAAAACGAAAATGGTAGAGCTGGGAACTCGCAACAATGACGAGAGACGCGGACACACGACACTACATCGATTCAAACTGCGTTTTGTAAACGATCTTTTGCTATTGGCTGAGTCCACAAGTCAACGACTACTGTCATAATCACAAAATGTCAAATTTTATTTAAAGTCAGTGAGATTGGTAGAATGGGGTTTCGTTTTCTTTCTTCTTCGGATTCTGATTTTTACTTTAGTCGCCGTAATCCTATTTATAAGTGACCAAAACAATTAAATATTTTTCTCTGTACGTTGCATTCCTTGACAGAAATAAATTTAAATATGTGGTGTCAGATTACATGGGTTACTTGGCGATGGGCTAGATTGTAATTGATATCATATGAATGTGAATAATAAAACAGTGATCTGAGTGTGAGAAGTGGATTGATTTGTTGCTGAGGCAATGTTATTAAAGCGGTATGTGCGGTGAGGAGTTGTATATGCAGTGTGGTGTTTAAGTGATGGCGATGGGAGGCGAGGGAGAGCGCGCATCGCGGCCGAACTCGCTGCTGTTAGAGGCACCGCCGCCGGAACGTGAGCCGCTGCGATTTGATGTGCAGCTCGTTGGCGCGCCGCCTGAGGTGGAGCAGCTCGTCAACAACATTAAACAAGTTGCTGAAGACTTCCTTTATCACTGGAAAACTTTTCCTATTGGTGAGAATTGTTAAACGGGATGTACAATGCGGTTTGGCTCACATAGCAATGAGTCCTTTTCAAAGTCACTCTTAAAACTAGGCAATAATAAAAATAAAACTGATGTAACTAAATGTAGCTAAGTTTAAAGTTAATGATAATTCTGTTGTTATTGTTCAATGATTCCATCATAAAATTAAGATTTAAAATCAGTAAAAAATAATATTTATAAATAATCACTGACCAGATTTGCGGGTGTTAATTTACCTAAAATTTTGTATGGGTGTACCCATTTTGTGATATGACCAAACCAAATCCCAGAATTGTTTTTAGGATATCAATACATGTAAAATTTATACTACAAATAAAATTAATATAGGCCATAATATATTCAGTTTCATTAATATGTATGTATTCATTATAATCATTAGAATGTTTATTAGGGTTCAGTTCAGTTTTTACTTTTAAAACTTTATTAACCTGTCTAGTACTATTGCTTACTATTTGACTTATTGTATCATGATGGACCAATACTTAGCTAGTTAGCTACCAAAAGAACCGGGAGATACCAGTTCTATTGAAGACTAGTACCGAATCCCGAATCCCTAATGTTTATTTGTAATGACCAGTGATCGGAATTGAGGGAGTTTTTATACCTAAAGTTTGAACGTTTTCTTAGTATGGACATACCCATTTCGTGATATGATCAAAAAATATCCCGGGATACGTATTACTTGAACTAATTTAAATTACTATTGAATAAATTCATAATACTACTGAATAAAATTAATATTGTTGTATTACGTTTTATTTATACGTAGGTATTTATTTATAATAATTATAGTGTTTAGTTTGACTCACTAAAGTAATTGTTCTTTCAAAAGGAGAAATATATCTAAGATCGGTACAGAATGTGTAGCAGTCTTCGCTGATGCTGTTATTAACATAAACATAAGTACTACATACATAAAATGGTAAAAACAAGATGTTCGTCACACAAAATAAAAATTTTTCAAGTTTTTATCAGACTTCGTTGTGGTCAAACGGACACTTTGATGAGTTTTTTTTAAGATGAACTGCCAAAATGAGGTGATGCAATTTCGGTGAAAAATGGTACATTTATATGTTCTGGTTCCGTATTGAAATATTTGACTTGGTAATTTAAACATAATCGACCTTACTAACCAACATTCTGGTATTAAAAAAAACCAGAAAATTAAACTAAAACTAAACAACCTTTGCCCTTTGTTAAATATCGACGGTTTTTATAGTTTATCTTATCTTGTTTCTGTACTGTGTAAAAGAGATAACAGTTACGGCTTTCCACGTTGTGTGAAAGAGAAGCTATTACTTATTTCTGCAGCGAAATATCCGTGCAAAAAACTCTTGTAAAATCTTTTGCTGAGTGCGCACGTGTTGTGAAACTAAAGTGTTGACCCCGGCTTGTTATTTTGGAATTTCACCGGCTTTGTTTGACAACTACGGCTTGATTTTGTGGGCTGTACTACAAACGAATTTGATATTTGCTATTTTCTTATCTTCAGTGTAAAAATATTTGCAAATTTAAATTTGCTATCTAAACTTTTTTTATTTATATTTTATGACTTTATTAATAAATAATACAACGCACTATTGCATTTTAATTATGTAACTTGCAAAGTAATAAAAGAAGTCAAAATTTTTGATGATTTGATTATAAAAATGTTGAAAAGTATCATGATATGCCGGTTATTATTGCATCATATTACAAAACAAGACAACACCGAAATCCCTGCTTTAAAAATGTTTTATGAGGGTTAACTTTATTATCCCTGTTGTTGACATTCAAGTAAAAACGCCTGATAATATTGAACCTAGCATAATTTCTCCATTCAAATCCATCTAAAAAGACCACGTTACCACCATGTCGGCGTGGTGCCAGAACGTGCGATGATAAGAAAGCGACAAAGGGTGCCGCGTGGTGAGACAAAAATCTTTTTTTGTTAGTTTCTAAAGCTAATCTCATTGTCTGAGTGATAACTGGAAAAAAGAGCGAACGAGACAACATACCTGCTTGCGTGCAGTTACATGTAACCCCATTAAGTACAATTTTTGTAATTGTTCTTATTCGATGTTGTGCTTGTCATGCGTTCGGGTGTTATTTTGAGTTTTTCTGTATTTTCTGACAACTTGGCTATCTCACAACGGTTTTTGATTTGCATTGCGATCTGGATTTTGATTTTACTTAAAACGACGACTTTACGCTACGAATCCCTGAACCAGCTTTTACCTGCGACTTGGACTTCATATTTATTTCACTTGCAAGGTAAGAATGAATTTTTTATTATTTATTGTTGAATTTTTAGTTAGACAATCTTTTTAATTAGAATTATTTAAAAAAAGTGGGAAAATACGGCAGAGTTTTAGAGATAAAAAATTAAAATAAATATTTAAAAATAGTAATTCACCCTGAATCTAATAAAGTTACCGAGGTTCGTAAAAATGTGCTAATAAACAGATACATTTAAACTACGTATGTAATATTTACTTATAATGTTTTTAATTTTAGTATAATTTTTTTCTTTTAATTTATCCAGAAAAAAATTACACAAATTACAAAATTATATATTTTTTCTATAACACTGCAATTTTTAATCGTTACACCTATAGGTTTTTGGAATAAAAAGCAGATTTCCGAGAAAAGACCTCAGTAATACCTATACCGTACAGTAGAATACCTATTTAACTTAAAAAAATGATTATGAAGAATGTGTAATTCTACATGTTAAAGAAGAAAATTATTAATTTTATTTTTAAAAGATCTATCTCGTTTCATAACATCCAGATATAAAAGTACCTTCATAAAAGTGACTACCCTGAAAAAAATTATAATTGAATATAACTTCTGAGTTTTACGATATTTGCGTGTGGTATTTTTATGATGAAATGAAAAATATGAGACCTCAATAATAATATAAATATCTTTTCCAAAAACGGCGGGCTTTAGAGAGAAAAAAAAACAAAAAAAATTAGGCACGCTGAATCTAATAAAGTTACGAACTTCGTAAAAGATCTTAAAAGTGCAACTTAAGACGTACTTTTTAACTATGTATACGGCTATTTAGTAGTAAAATTCGACTAGTTCTAAGCGCGCGTTAGCAAAACGCGCGTCGAACGCTCCTAAGAGAACAGGCTCTTAATTTACCAACTATGTGTTTAAAATGTATTTTTGTGAAATAGGCAGTTATATAATTAAGTACTTTTAAAAACTCTGTTTCAAAATGTTTTGACATGGTCATTAGCAGCTTTTTTTTATTTTAGGTATTATCACTATGGAAAATAGACCAAGATCAGAGCTGGTTTATAGCTGGGTTGTCGACTACCCAGAACTGGTTTACGATCCCGCAAGTGGTATCATATTTTGTACAATATGTGAATCCCACATAAAAGCTACTCGTAAAAGCAACGTAGATCGGCACATCATAAACGCACTTCATACAAGACGACGAAAAAGAACCCCGGATGAGTTTTATTTTGATTTAATAGAATTTTTAATATTATGTAACATACCTTGGACACAAGTGAGTAACCCAACGTTACAAAAATTTTTCAACAAGTATATATGTATAAAATGTTGTTGTACTTGCTCAAATAAGGCAGTACCTTCAGAATCATTGCTACGGAAACAATATTTTAACAGATTTTTTCAAACACAATTAAAAGCTACTTACGATGTAATCGGAAACAACAAGATTTGGTTATCACTTGACGAATCCACGGATTTTTTGGGAAGATACGTTGTAAATTTATTGGTGATGCCACTTATACAAAATGTGGCTACCAGACCATATTTAATAGCTTGTAAAATGCTAGAAACAGTGAACAGTATACTTTGCAGAAGTCCATGTTGATGAAAATGTAAGTTAATTAATTTGCTACTCCGCTAACCCAGTGACAGTTAAACCATGCAAAATAGCCACGCTTGTGTTGAATATATTTTTTTTTATGCAGATAAATAACTATTTCAAGAAAGTATTTAAACGTCTTTACTTTTTTTACTGGACTGGCTCTGAAATTATTAAATTCGTTTTAGGCACTCACCAGCCGCTCGCTAAGTCCTAACCTTGGTAAATTAATTTTTTCTTCTTAATTTACTCAAAAACTATAACCTGCGGAGTAAAAATTATAAGAACAAAAAGTATTTATTTATGTCTTATCTATCCAAAACAATCATTAGACAACTTAAAACAAAAAAAAAATCTATCGGAATTTTTTAACTCCAGTAGTCTTGGTAAATAAATTTTTTCTCCTTCATTTACTCGAAAACTATCGCTTGCTGAGAAAAATTAATAAGAACAAAAAGTGTTTATTTAAGTCTAATCTTTCCGCAGCAATCATTAAAAATAATTTAAAACAAAAAATCTATTCCGGTTAGTACCGGGATTTGTAAAAGGGAATGTCCACATTATTCTTAACGTTGCTCAAAGTTTCGATATAAAAACTCCCTCAATTCCGATCACTGGTAATGACTTACTAAAGTAATTGTTCTCTCAAAAGGAGAAATACATCTAAGATTGGTAGTATAAATGAGAAACACATAGTCCAGGTGATCTGGTGAATACGTAATATTTTTTGTTTTGTCTCGTTTTCTTACTGTGTGAAACAGATAGTCGTTACTGCTTTTTATGCTGTATGAAAGAGAAAGCAGTTACATATTTCTACAGTGAATATATGGGCAACGCTCACTTGTCTATAATAATATTATTTTTGAGACAATAATTAAAATAAAATTATTATTTCCTATTGACCAAATACTCAATAGGAAATAATTTGTGGCCAATGTACTCAAATATATCAATAAAACACATATTCAAACATTCTGTTCAGTTCTGGGAAGTTTCAGAATTTGTAGAAAGGAATGTCCACATTATTTTTAACATTACTCAAATTTTAGGTTATGTAATTCCGATCACTGATAACAATATAATTTTCATCTTATTGACTATGACTTTTCGCAGTCTTGCCCCAGTCGCGTTTCGCCGGACCTGGCAATCGGCCCTCAGACATTCTCGTAGCTCCGCCATGTGATGAGCTCGATGCTGCAGCCCTCGACGCCGGTATAGAACCACATCCACTCTCACCGAAGCAACTACACGCTATTAGAGAGAAAGGGTAAGTCTCATGTTGCATTCACAGATAGATTACACTTATTTGCATTATTCTGACATACATGGTGACAAGAAATGCCTCACAATTTCTTTTTAACACTGCCTCTCTTTATTAATTTCGTGAGAGTATGCATTACTACTCAAAGTGAGCTCAACATAATAGATAAAACAAAGTTCGCGTGATCCCATTGGCTTGGTTATGCAAAAACAGAGAAGGATTGTGCAGCAAAGAGACTATATAGGACAATGTAAACACCTAAGACGGTTCACATTTCAGTTGCTATAAAGTAGTGAAAAGTGACAAAGGAGATAGGAGGTAGGATAACTTGACGAAAGTCAAGATACTCTTGGTTGCTAAGTCAAACAAGTTAGTACACAAAGCTTTACAAAGAAAAACAAAACAAAAGAAAACAAATAATATACAAAATTTAGAAATAAAATGTTACTATTGTTTTAAGTGCACTAGTGACCAACATGTGGCACAAGTCGTAAAAAATGCTTTTATCAATCTAATTGAACATCTAAAAATAGCTACTCCGTGTTAGCTACTGTTTGCCCGTTGAATTGTATATCATTACACGACGCGACCAGATGTCATATCACTTTACGTAGTATAAACTCGTAAGGAAGAACTTTTAATGATAATTAATAGATTTTTGAAGTTTTGTTGTTTCAATAAACAATTATTTTTAGTAGCTGTAGAGCTTGTGAAAGAGTTCGTCCAGGGAAGTACTGCCATCTTACCTATTTCTGCCGTCATGCACTAATGTTAACATTACTATGTTCCGGTTTTGAAGGGTAAGGGTGGGTGAGGGTAAGTGAACTTACTGGCACATGAAGCTTGTCAACTTATGTCTCAGGGATTCGGACGCAGTGGCAGTGCCCCTCGGATCTTTGAGATTTGCTCTGGGTAAGACTGCAACTGCTATGGACAAGCGTGTAGCTTACCATCAAGCGCACGACTACTTGTTCGTCCCGTCACTTCATATTATAAAAAAAAATATTTAAAATAAATACGCGCCATTAAATACTAAAATACACCTTTCGATCTCAGTCAACCCTAATTACAACATTAAAATGGGGTAATGAATAGAATAGAATTCATTTATTACAACGCCACAACGCAAACATATACAGAAAGAAATAAAAGAAAGACAAAGCAAAAGTAAAACAAAAAATAAAATAACAAAAAAACAAGTAAACAAACATGATCCAATTTTGAACAGTCTACTCAATTTGCATAAATGTCATGTGTCATTACTCTGCTGTGATACTCAGCTATTATCAAAGCAGAGTAATGACGCTGATTTTCAGTAGACCACACGGTCTACTGAAAATCAGCGTCATTACTAAGGTACATTATACACATAATGTACCTTAACTGAGATGTTCCACTGATCATCATCATATCATTGTAAGGATCTGGTATGATAGTGCTTTCAATCAATCAATCAATCATTTATTTGCTACAAACAGTAGTCAAGATAACAAATAATAACATAAGTAGTACAAGCATGTTTTGCCAAAAATGAGAGCCTAGCCCGACACTATCCACCCAGCCCATAACGACCGATACCGGTAAGAGAGAGAACAAAATAAGGGTCATATCTCTCGCTCATTTTTTACTACCGGGGTTCCTAGCGGCAGAGTAGGTTGTCATAAAGCTCATTAATTTAACACAATTTTGTTTAGAAACCAATTTCGCTAGTAGGGTGTTGATGACGAAAAAAAATTAAATTACTAAGATTTTGACGAAAAATTCAATAGTATTGTACTATTGCTGATTCTGCATTGGTGTGTGGAGCAGTTTTTATGAGCATTTGGAAATTCAGTTCAATACAATTTCTTTTCACACTAACTATTATTCAAAGTTAATGTTTCACTTTTGAAAAGGGTATAATTAAGGTATACAAAATTAATAACTTTTTAAAAATTTTACGATATTTCTCAGTAAAATATTAGAATACCCGAAAAATAAAAATAACAACCATGTGGAGCGATCTCTGGAAATAATAGCATAAAACCCAACAAAAAATAGAGTTTTTCCAAAAAAATAAGAAGTGCCAATATCTCGAAAACTAAAAGACTTTTACCGACGTCAAATTATTTTTTTCTGGTAGGTATAGAGCTCACCTACCCGCAGTATCGCTCTGACGTCGTAGTTTTGAGATACCCTGTATGTATAAGAATAATTATTGAAAAAATTCCCTAATGTTTTAATACTTTATCCCTCAACGATTCTTATAATTTCGTGTTATATCATTTAATGGGTAGTCTCTCTTTAGGAACAAAACTTTCTACCTTAAATTGAACCCATGAAAACCCACTAATGTACTTGTTCAGCCATAGTGTCAACCAATCTCACTAAAGTGTAACATCTCAATCCCCTACTACATTCACAATTACAATGTGAATGGAACAGCGACAGTCTCCGAAACAGGAAGTGGTCCCCACGCACGCCTTTAACTTGTTAAGTTCACTTAAGGCCCTTGTGATTGTCCGAGTTTGATACAGGCGCCTTGATGTTTAATTGTTACGTCGCGCAGTTTAATTTTTTGTTCTACTTTCTTAAGTGATCAATTATGTGAGATATACAGGGTGACCGGGATTGTGACGTCAAAAAAGAAATTATATTATTAAATTATATTAAGTATTGAGGGGTATCCGAATCACCCCCATGTATGTTCCGCGTTTTATGTAGTTTTTGAGTTACGGATCGGCTCTAAATTTTTTTCTCTTTTCAAACTACAACACGATTTTTCAAGTACATTTTACAACTACAACTTTTTGTACAAGATTTTTTCGGGATTTTTTTTGTAACTCAATATTTATGAATTGGACTTTAACGCACAAAATTTTCGGCTTCATAACGTCAATGGAAGCTACGAAAGTTTTGACCTAAAGTAATTTTTTTTTTCTTGACGTCACTATCTCGGCCACCGCACCACATAATCACGTTAATTATGTATACTAGACCTCTCGAAAAGGAATATTGGCATAAAATATACTATTGTATAAATTTGTACAAATTTTTAAGTTCTCTGAGATTAATGAGGTCAAAGTTCGCCTACGAGTTGAGTCGATGGGACAGAAATATTATGTATTGAAAAATGTGTGCAGAACTATGGAAAAAGACCGTAGAATAGAATTCGGTAGAAAATTTAGTATCCGCCCAATATGTGAATGATACATAATTAAGTAGGCAAGTACTTTAGGTTTTTTCCAATGTTTTTGGCGACCTGCCAGCGAAATGCCTCAATTTCAGAATTTAAAACGTGGGGAACGGACTCTCGGATCTCATTCTGAAATTAAGGTTATTTTTCCTATTAAGAGGTGGGACCTATAAGGGTTATTTTGCAACTTTATGTTGATCTGTCTGGTGACTCAGTCCATAAACATTGGTACATGAGATGTGGCTGTACGTGTACCATATCAATGATACATTACATAATAAAATTTCTTAACCACTACCTCATATTGCAATTGATTTTTGTTTACATACATATTGTGTTACGTAATCGATGTAATATTTCGATACCTCCAATGAACACTATGCCAACTCAATTTTTGGGCCTGTTCTTTTTTTTTTGTTTATTAAAGAAAATGTATTTTTTTTAGATTTTTGTTTTTATCACAAAATTCGGGGAGAATATTATTAGTAAATAAATATGGCTGTTTACAAATATAACAAAAAAGAACCTAAAAATAAAGTGTTCATTGGAAGTATCGATTTCACTCTGATTATGCATTATACATAATTATGTATTATTATTATTGTTGTTTATATACGCATTACAACATTTAGCCCAACTAATGCTATTATTGTCATTAAATTCGGAATTATTCAAATACAATAATTGAAATTATTACTTGACTTGGTTTTTTTTAATTCAATTCATTTTTATTTGATTTTAAATAGAATAATAATTCATGTTTAGGAAGTTTTATTTTGAATGTATTATCCAACTTATTTTAAAAGTACATGACTGAAACATTCTTCATTATGTAGCTGATTTGTTTTCTGTAAAGCCTGCACAAGGACCGTATATTTAAGCCGAAGAAGCTAAGCGCTAAGCAATTGGAGTCGATACGGGAGTGGGGGTATGTCGTCGTATATATGTATGTTTATATGTGTATCATACCATTTCATAACATATACATTAGACCGAATATAGAATAGCATGCTCCCCATTTCATCTGTTAGTGTAATGTATTTGTATATTATGTATTTTTATTTTACAAACGCAATAGAGACCCTAATCTCATTTAGATAAACGTTAACAACTTCCTGTCAATGTTTTAATTAAATGACAGAGAAATTCGATTGTTTCCTTGAGATCGTGGTCGATTTTTATTTTGTGTTGTAACTAACAATTATTTTCAAAACCTCTTGAAGCATGTTCTTCCTAATATTGATGTTGTGTGATTTGATACTCCCTATCTAATGACCTTGTATTGTAATTAATATCTTTACTTAGAAGACTCTGTACTACAAACCTTTACTTATTGTATAAAACAAATAACTTGTAAAGACAGAAAGAGCAACGGTATAACAAAAGAGAGTGTTGTGGTGCGAAAAATAATGTAGTGACTATGATAAAAAAGGGAATGATTCGATGGTTTGGTCATATGAAATAACAATACAAATTCATATTAGCGAATGTGGAGACAAACATTGGGAATCTCAGCGTACAGAATGCAGACGTGCCTAAGAAAGGCTAGTCCAAAACAAACTCCACTCTTGTAGAGTAACATCAAAAAAATACGATAACAATGTTCATATAAACCACTGGCTACAGGCCTGCCGCTTAACTGAGTGTTGCCTAACAAATTAGTCAATTGTTGTTATGTGAAACTATAATAAAAACAAAACCAATTTCTTTTATCATTGAAATGAATAGAAAAGCCATTTGGCACTTTTTTCAATCAACTTGTTATTGAATATCGTCAAAAAAATCTTGTTGAAATTATCCCGCGCAGCGTGACACATGTTACGCGAACTGTCACTCCTCCCGCACCGCGCTGATACCTCAGGAGCCGACTCAGTTAAGCGGTAGGCCTGTACATACACAGACAATTAATTTGAAAAAAAAACCGACCTCAAAAGTCATTCATCCCCCAGTTGGCCACCCTTAGAAGTGGAATATTTTCTTCAAATTTAAATGATCTTTTTCCAAAAAAGAATACTCAAAATTGGTTCACAAATCGAGTTATCATGTGACATAAAAAAAAACCAAAAATGCGAATTGATAACCAAAAGAAGGTTTGCCAGTCAGTGGTTCATATGAACATTGTTATCATAATTCAATCTTCTTTTTAACGTTACTGAGAAGTCTTCCGCAGTGTTAGGCGGCGATTATGCGCCAGACGCGATAGTGTGAATGTATGAGAAAAACCCATTGACCTACCAACAAATGGACGTCGGGTCTAATACAAAAACCACGAAAAAAATGTCCGAAGTTAACCTATACAAACGTAGTGACATGTAACGAAATATAAAAAACTAAAACATTTAATTTACATTGTAACGTCATTGCAGTAGTGCCTAATTTTGCTTGCAACAATTTAAGGGCCTAAAAGCACCATATTCAGCTTCTACTGGAAATTTAACAAAATGCACCATATTTAGCTTCGACTTATAAGAATATAAGAATTACTTGAACACAAGAGTAATGGAGTAGCCTTTGTCGTAAATATTAATTAATTTTTATGTATATTAATTAATTTTTTATTGAATTGATATTCAATTATTTTTTGTGAAATTACTCCACTAGTTTGTTATAATTATTAATACAAAGATCGAACACTCTGAAAAAATTCCTTCGATCCGGTCAGATTCGAACCGGATCGAATCGGATTCGATTTATGTATATTATTATGTCGAATGTTTTACAAATTCAAATAGAGAAATAATAAAGAGTTGGGCAGATACATACAAACACATATTACTGTAAATGTGAAAATAAGCGTGTACTATAAGAAATGTACCGATATTCCAGCTAAATGTAAACTCAAATATCCGTAATTCCGAAAACCGATTTATAATAAAACCGTTACGCTTTCGAGTAATTTTGATGCTGACAAAATTAGCTTTTATTTTGTAATCTTCCCAAAAAAATACATTTGACATTGTGAAAATTCGAGCTAACGTTGTTACGGGCAAATGTATTTTCTGACTTCTGATAGGTAATCCCAAGCCGTAAAGCGAGTACAACAATATTTTGTCAGTTATTGCTAACGTTTAATCAAAAATCATTTAAAAAATAAAATTAAAATCATAGCGACTCTATAGTTTGTTTGTTTTAAATATTTCAATCGCTTGTGGTTCGAATAATTGAAAATGACCAAGAAGTTTTAAGTTTCTTGAAATTGACATAATAGGTCTCTTTCCAACTTTTGCGCATGCAATGTGTCGAAAAAGGACAGTTAGCTATTTGATTATTTTGTGTGCTTTTGTAATTTATATTTACGACTCATTTATTTATAAATTAAATACTATAAAACTGTACAAAATAACACTTTTGAATGAGAATTATGATAACACAATATATTTGTTTAGTGAAAATATGATACAAAATTCTGTATTTACACTTTATTGTAATTTTTAGAAGTTATTATTATTGGTACTGCATGATTGTCAACCGCGCTGTTAGTCGAACAAACGAAGACTGTTGCGCGATTGACGCTCAGTATGCGATTTTAACGCCCTATAGGTGCGGACACTTTTTAGCGCGAACGTCAATTTATTGGTAGGTCAATGGGAAAACCTGATTGTTCAATGGAACGAGGTTCTATTGTAAAATATTACTAAAATCATAAATAACAGCTTTCGTTCTATGACTTTCTACAAAACAATAAATTTACCAAAAAATAATCTTTAAAGTTTTTTTGTACTATCTGACACTTTATAGTTCTGTAATTGACGTTCTATGTAAACATTAACCTTTTCAAATAAGTCTTGAATCTAATAGAGCTATGCTGACATTTTGCAGCGAATTCGAAGTACCGTCCCGCCACTTTCCTGGTCAAACGCACGTATGGCGCGTATCGGGCTGGTTGCAACGCGGCCGCGAGCGCGCACGCGAAGAACTCTACCACCATATTGCGCGAGCGCTGGCGCTGATCGTGGTCACCGCTCGCGATCGTTTATTGCGAAGGGAGCCACTGTCCGCTATTGCGGGAGGTCACGCTTTGCTCGCCGGTTTACACAGGTAAGCATGATTTCCACTAATGAAAGCAAGAAACTTATGCAATTAAAATGGAGCAGTGGTAAAGTGACTCAATTAAAGGTTACCATAACATGTAACAGTCAAACACACGTTATTATTTATATACATAATTATATGGTGAGGTCGTTATTTTCAAACATCGAATATATAACCAGAAATAGAGACGAAACAAGGCCCATATATTCCTGGTAACACATTAGCGATACAGCTCTTATAAATATCAACTCCCGTTTGCACTGAAATGTAGACAGGCCAAATACTGACCGGTGTGTACGTCTCCGTATATTCCAAAAAGTATTCTGTATTTATTGTAATAAAGATAATATGTCTAACAATGCCGTACTGTTCTATTCGGTGGTGTGGGAAAACAGCAATACATCTTTTTTTTTACTTATAGTTTTCAGAAAGCATATAATATTATTTTAATGTAACAACGCACACACTCAACATAGCCCTGCACTAGGGAAACTCTGTGTCGCGGGTGCCATGGACATACACATAGACAACCACAAATTACACCAAAACTCACGAGAGAATTAAATGTAGGCCATACAAATATTTCTCCCGGCCCGGGAATTGAACCTGGGACTTCTGCGTGGCAGTCCGGCATGGTAACCGTTCGGCCACAGAGGCAGTTAAAATAAGTAAGTTACAAAACAAACGGAATCACATTTCATCGGTAATTAAATATTAAACATGTAATCTTGCAGTTTTCGTCCATTATCAAGTTAACTGGTTGATTTGAAGTGACACAGTTGACGAAACCCATTGACGACACCCGTCAATTGTTTCGAACTAGGGCTGGCCAATCGGAGCGCAGTTGTCACAGTAATGATATGGCAGAACAGTCTTCAAACAAATTAAATGACATTTAGTCTCTATTTCTGGTTATATACTCGATGTTTTCAAATTTATTTTTTCCTCATTTTGGATTTAGAGCACTATAGCGACATCTCTTTAAAATCGTTTAAACTAATTTGTTTGTCTGTTTTATCGACTAAGAGACTATAGTGCTAAAGATTATGAGTTAAGGTTTGATACCTTAACTTATAATCTTTAGCACTATAGTCCATCCTCCCCCGGTGTTTCTCTTACCCATAATACACATAATATGCATAATTATTCAGCCGACAAGCGAGTTTCATAAAAACAGTCACGACTGTTTTAATTCCCAATTATGTCCAGTTACATACACAGCTTTATCTACACACATATTAAAAGTTCTC